TTCTTCATCTAGGAACTTCTCTTCTTGCATCAACAGTTCAAATTGAAAATTTCTTCTGCTGCAATTTTCACTTTCATTCCTCTACTGTAATTAGGCCAGTCATTGAAGTTACATTTATTTTCCTCTTATAGAAACTTAGGTCCTTTTCATCAATATTCGAAATTCAAAATATGTGTTGACGTTATTTTTATTTCGATTCCTCTACCGGAATTGGTGCAAATCCTCTAAGTTACATACATGTGTCTTCTTCTAGAAACATACGTTTTATTTGTCATCAGCAAATTAAAAAATTGTTTGGTAATTACTGTTTTTTTTTATTTTATTTATTCTTCTTTCGGATGATTTGTTATGGGTTTGGCTGTAAAGCATATCTTCGAAACTATTGAGAATCAAAATTGACCGTGATTGAATTGCCCATAGGGAAGTTTTAAAAATTATTTTAAAGTTTAATATTTTGGCAAAAATAGTAAGTCGTTGAACTTAGAATGAAAACAGTTCTAAACTGTTCTAATGAACAAACAGATCCGTACTCAAAGAAGTAAACTTGAGGATGTTTTAGAATACGAAACATCGGGGCAAAAAATATTATATTTACGTGTTTTAATGTTTAAGTGTTTTGAACCAAAATTTTGTTTAGTCGCAAAGAAAATTGCCCAATTGCTTTTTCATTTAATTACCTTTATCATACTGAGGAGCTTGAGGAAGATGAGAGAAAAGAAAAAGTGTATGCCGTTTAAATCGCTGCAATTGCTAAACTAAAATATGTTTTTGCTAAAGTAAATTTTTACCAAAGTTCAGCTTCTCTAAGAAATAATAATCGTCATTAGTTCTATTCTGTGTAGAAGGCGAAAGTTTGTTTCATACGTTTGTAAACGTTTGATAATTAGAAAATACTTAAAATATGAAAATGGAATTCGACGACTTAGTTGACTGTAAAAATAATTAAATGTAGCACTCTAAATTAGCGATTTCTTCGGCATGTTTTCAAATTTATCTATGCTTAACATTAATCTCAATTATAAAAAAATCAAATTTGAAAGTTTAAAAACTAAATAAGGCCTTTACGTCAATATTAGAAAATAGCTAAATTGTTTAATGGAAAGCTAAACTGAAAACTAATTTTTATTTAGATTATGAAAATCTATAATAAAATAGATTTGAGTTTTAATTTAAATTAACCCTAACCTAAAAATTCAGCTAGTTAATTTTAGAAAAAGTAGAATGGATTATGCAAAACAGACACAGGGAACCCAGAAAACAGAAATTTATCAAAATGTCCAAAAAATATTACCAGGCTTAAAACGCAGTTAAAATATTTAACTGCGTTTTTAATGTTTTTTGTCAATTTAAGAAAATTTCTCAACCATGATAAAGAAAGCAATACAGAATCTCTAACCTTCCAAGTGGGTGATTCCACAAAAAAGTAGGTACTAAGTGAATCAACGAGTTAAATTAGCTCTCAAAATATGAAACTATGTACTGATCCTGTTTTTGTTTTTAACATTTGGTTTTATTGCTTTTTAGAACGAACAACGCCACCAGTTTTTATACTATAGCAACTTTCAACCTTTCAATTTGCATTTTTCTCCTCAACTTGTGTTAAAAATGAAAAAAATGTAAAAACCATTTCTAACAATCCTTCTTGTGCTAACGTCTCCTGCATCCCTGTCCAAGACCAGGAAATTTAAGTTAAACTCAATCCCTGGACAAATATATTGCTTTCGCTAAAACCCCTATAAAAAATCTAAGTACAGTGATATTTCAGGGCCAGAAATCGAAGTGATATAAAACGTGCACGCACTTTATTTACGACAAAGTCACAGTTTGTCTTATCGCCCTGTCGTTTAGAAACTCTCCATAATTTCAATTCACAGTTATGAAAACTCAACCATTAAACTAAATTGGCGTAGGTAGTGTACAAATTTGCGCATTAATCAGCTTTTATAATATCACATAATTATCATTCGATGGAAATTTTTCTAGGCCTGAAACGGCCTTAAAACTTTCAACGAACAATGACTACGCCCCATGCAAAAAGGGATCATTAAATCAGGAACAGCCGTGATAAAAAGTCAATTACTGACTGGGAATCAATGTGTGCGAGAATTGATTCGAGACAAAGTTTGACGCTTTTCGACTTTGCCCACTTTAAGCAAATAAAACAAGTTTGGCCTCCGGCTATGGACAGAAGGTGGACGAGTGGGACACAATCAATGCCAGAATTCCCAATTGGGTCAAGAGTTCGAGACTTGCAATGAAAAATTTTGATTTTGGCTTGCCGTAATTAGCAGGAAATAAATCAGAGCTGATCCGAATTGAAGTTGAATAATTCCGAAAACAACCAGGCAGCTACTGAATCCAAAATGTAAATTACCCATAAATTAGCGATAGGAAACGACCTCAGGTGGACTTCATTAATTTCGCACCTTGACATGAGAGTGTCTCCGTTAACCCCCAGTTTGTTTCGCAATACGAAAGTATTCCCTTGGCAAATTAAAAACTGAAAACGCGTTATGTTTTATGTATGATTCGTGTTCCATCCGAGCCATACTAGCTGGAAGTAATTTCCATCAGGCGGCATTATTTGCAGGAATAATTAAAATTCAACACCTTTTATTTGGTTATGGTCAGATAAGAAAGGCAATAAAAGCTGTTGGGCGCTGATTGAAGATAAATTAGATTTTCTCTGCTAAAATGTGATGCTAGATGAAAAAGTGTTGAGAACTTCCAATAAATAAAAAACTTGCACGCGCATTCCGCTAGCAAATTTGAAGAATAAAATGTTTTAATCGCTCAAGTATTTATGTGTAATAATCGATCTGTGATTGATATGCACTGCAATTAAATATCGTGCTATTGTTTTACATTGTCAATAAATTAAGTGCCCAAATACACTTTTTCAATTCACTTTCAAGCACATGAAGATATTGGTTTGAAAACAGATCAGTCCATTACGAGAAACATTTTTTCAAACAATCAGAATTAAGAAAACACAAAGTGACACTGTTTAGTAATGAATTCGATCATTTAATGATTACGTTCCGGTAAGAGCCGCATCCTTAATATAGTTTATCCAGTTAAGAATTTATAGCAAATTTTACAGCTTTTCTAGCTGAATTTCGCATCCGATTTTGCGAAAATGCGATTTAAAGGCTTTTCTTTATTACTGCAAAAAACTTCAGAGCATACTTTGGGATATAAATAACGTTTGTTAATGCTTGTCGTCTAGTGGAATCAGATGGCCACATGCCAGACCGCATATAAAAAAAATATATTTCAAAATACATGTAATAATAACAGCTCTTTTATAAGAAGCTTAACCGGTTAAGGATCGATTTTGAGAAAAAATAGTGTCACTTTTTAGTATTTCATATGGAAAAAAGTAGTTTCATATTTTTGCTATATAATGATGACTACTAAATTTTCATATGTGAATTCTAATTTCAGGATAGACTCACTTACTGGCTAACACAACACATTTACTGGCTAACTAGAAGAATAATTTATATATTGATAAAATGTATGCTTTTAACAAGAAAGTAAAGTATTCATTTCAAATTGTAAATTTAATAAACTTGATCGTGTTATTAAAATATTATTATTTCTTATAAAGAATCATTGTTTAAATAGAGTTGGGTTGAAAATTGATTTTCAAGACTTTGTGCCAGTGTAAGGCGAGTTTTTCCGAAAATAGTCCCAAACACTTTTTCCCACGATTCTTATCCTAACGAGATTCTCAAAAAAATGAGCAATTGACTATTTTTAAAAACAATTGTTGATTTGTGTAAAGACAAACACAATTTTATTAAAGACAGACATTAATTTTTTATACAAATTAAAAGAAATTTTTTTTTATTTATTTTCTGTCAGGTAGGGATGAAAACATTGGGACTTTCTGTTATAGAAGAAGAACTTTAATATATTGAAATACATCGTCTTAGTTGCTTAATGAAGAAGTTTTTTTTGAAATTTAATGTCGTTATTGGCATGAACGTTGACGAAAAAAAAATTAAAATAATTTATAATTTCAAGTTATTGAAACTGAATATTGTTGTGGAATCCTTAGTATTAATCCCGCTTCTAGTCTGAAAAACTAGTGGTTTTTCAATTATATTTTATTGCAATATTTACTCCTTTACTGATGCTTATTGAGCAGCTAACAAGAAAAACCGTCTTATTATTTTTCAATCTATATATTTTAATTTAACGATTTTAAATTCATCATGTCAACTCAATGATGCATTTAAAGTTTACTTTTAAGTAAAACATGCAGTATTATTAACAGCAAAATATTGAATATGTCGAATTTCAAGAAAAAGCTAAACAAATTTGTAAAAGCGAAGCGAAAAAAAGTCTTGAGCTTTTCTTTCAAGGCGTAACCTGCAATTTTATTGAAATCTACACTGAAACGACGTGCCTACAAGCTAGAACCCGGTTATAAGCATAAAACATTGGCTCTTTAGGACTCTTTGATAACTTGATCATAAACAAGGTTTCGTTAAAAACACCATTTCTCCAATTTGGGCATTCAATATAAGAAAATAATAAAAATAACTATTAACGTGTAAAAAATTCTAATTACATATAACAGTAAATAATATTGAAACTAATGGGTTTTTCGGGTTTTTAGGCCATCGTTCGGTAGAATTTCTTATTGACGTTTCGCAAGCAAACCACTTCTGAAGCATGCCACTTGTGCTTGCGAAACGTCAGGAAGAAATTCTACCGAACGACGGCCTAAAAACCCGAAAAACCTATTAGTTTCAAGGAATAGCCTCGAAAGTTTATCTTTTTTAATAGTAAATAATATTTATTATATTAGACACAATATACACATCATTTGTTCACAATTAACCAACGACACTAGATCTATTTACGATATTTTATTTAAAGTAAAATTTGCATTTTGGTTAAATATATGAACGGGAGATTCATAGTTTTGATTTAACCATGAAGTTATGAAAACCACACATTTATATAAGCATTTAACAACAAATATTTGGAAACAATGAAAACGTGGTTGCGTAGAAAATGATAAACCTATGACCGGTTACGAATGAATCAATTGATTTACTAGGAATAAATTCCATCCAGCTTTGTATAATATTTAGTAACGTGGGTTAGTTGATAACATTCTTTCTGTTGGTCGCTAGTTCGGACGGATCTGATAAAAAAATATATTGAAGCGACACAGACAAGTTGCAATAGAATACGGACATTCTAGAGCAGAGATCCAGAAATCGAAGGAAACTATCTTTGTTTGCCTGAATCATTAATACAAAATTACATTTTATTAACTGCGAATTTGACGAAGATAACTTCTGTTCATGCGGATATTTCTTTCCAGCTATGATCGAACACGAAAATATGTCTGATATGGAGAACGTGCTGAAATGAACATTGGATGGTCACATCTTATCTAGTCAATTCTCGAAAATATTGACAGGGTTTTAGAGGACCGATTTTACGCAGATAAACTCTTATCTATGATTATTGACAATGAAATGCAAAGAATGCAGAATAACTCGAGTAATTCTGTTACCACTTATGATGTCTCCAAAATGAGATTATATATTTTAGTGTATATAATATCTCAAGTGTGCTAAGGTGTGGAACGGAAATATCCAATCTATTCCTTATCAGATTATTCATTCATTAAATTTCCAATAGCTAGTCACATCGAATTGTTTGCTCACCTCTTATCTATTGACAAAACCAAATAAATAGGTATCGTGTTGAGGATATTGGCACACTGATCGCAACTTTGTTTGATATCAGTATTAGGCACTGAAAAATGGCACCTCCACCACCACCACACGATCCACACGGTCCCCAGGAGCCTCCACATGATCCACATGGGCCTCAGGAGCATCCTCATGATCCTCATGGTCCTCGTAGACCACTTGGAGGCCCCGGCCCTGGTCCTCATGGTCATGAAGGTAAGCAAAGCATTTTCCTTGTTTATCAGTGTTAAAAATATGTTATTACTTTTAAAAATGTTCAGCTTCGCCATGTTATTCATTTGTCTCGGACATCGTTTTTCTAGGTAATATTTTAACTTGCAGAAAACATGAGTGGTTCTATATTTCAGTCCACTACGTTTGGTATAACAATTTTTGTCCTCAGAGTATTTCTAGTACCAATCAATTACTTGAGAACAATCACAGTAATAAGCAAATCGATAATGTAAGCTTCTCCGTTATCTGAGGATTATACGCTTTATGTGGAAATTGGTACTGAAACCGTACTATTGCCTGTCAATAATTTATGGTGCAATATTTACTGATTCGGTGGTGAATTCCGGAGACTTTCTTTATTTCGGAGACAATCTAAAATTTTGCCAAAAATGCCAACTAGAAATGTTTTTAATATCGGATATTTCAATAAGTCTCTAGGAATTGGATTTTGATAATGGAATTTTTATTCTGATCAGCATCATTTTCCATTACAGTTTTGCATTAAATTTCTACAATAATTACTTTACTTTCAGGTCCCCAAGAGCCAATTCATCCACAACCGTTTTAAACCGACTGAAAGCTAATTAGGATTAAGTTGAACTTTTTTGATATAATAAAAGCCTCAAATATACATTATAATTTGCATGCAATTATACCGCCATATTTTCCTCTCAGCGTTACAAAATCTCAAACTACAATAAAAGTAGACAGATGATACTGTTTTATTAGAAATGTAGAATATTAGCGATGAAATTAAATGTTCTCGAAATTATACACATGAATGATTCCTTATGTCCACCTATCGCCTCTCATCAACTTTGTTTGCTGCTTTTGTCTGTTATAAATATTGTTGTTTCCTATTCTGCTAATGGGTTTTTGTACGCATTGTTACTATTTTCATTCTTTTCTATGCTGCTTCATATTTCCTCATCTATAAGTCATATACCGCGAGTTCACCTCTTGAAGACCTTGAATGTCATGATGATATTCAGATCGTTGATAAGTTTGAATATTATAATTGGTAACAAATAATTTAATGTTGCAAAGCTACTTAATGATACGAACATATTTCCACCTCTGATGTCCAGAATTGGCGAGACTTCGGAGCAACGTTCGGGTTGTTAAATGTCTGTGCCAAAGGATCAGTAACAGTAGTTGAATGCCCGTGCTTGATGTAGGATTTTTGATTGTTGCTATTACTATTTTTAACTACACGTCGTTATTAGCTAGCACAGAGTTTTATTGTAGGAAGGATCAGCAAATCTCAAAAGGGGATCAAATTTAAAAATTGATTCTTTTTCCCGCGTTGGGTTGATCTTTTGTGAAAGATCAACCGAGTGTTAGTGACAGAAATTACCTCCTCACTATACATAGTGTTCGAGCCGGATTCGAACTGTATTATTCAAACAATTTAAATTCCATTCAAATATTTCAAATTAAATGTGTCTTAAAGGCAAGTTTTCTTAACTGAAAAAAAAACTTTTGACATGCGAATTTTTTTTGCAAAATAATATGCAATCGATTACAAAAAGAACAAAAAACCAACCGAGAAAACTACAGGGGTATTCTTTATATTCTATGATCCTCCATGAAATTATTCACCGGCGTTAATAAATATAACCTGAACAATATATCGAAATTAAAGACGAATAGCGGGGATTCCGGAGAAATAGGTCTACTGACGCCCTATTTATCATACGCCAAATAAAAGAAAAGGCAATAGAATTCGACACCCCCGTTTTTATATGTTTTATCGATTTGACAAAAGCATTTGACCGTGTCCGACTGGAAGACATTATCAACATCTTGAAGAAAAAACGAACGCTAGCAAGAATTATAAAAACAGTATACTGCCTAAACACAGGCAATTCAACCCGAATTAAAGTTGATCGTAAGACAAAAAATGACATACCGATATCGCAGGGCATAAGACAAGGGGATAGCTTAAGCCCGTTTCTGTTCACCCTGATTATGGACGAGATCATTGAAGAGATCAGCGGCTTAAGAATGGGGTATGGGATCAACGGAAAACCCATTTGCATAATTTGTTACGCTGATGACGCGACAATATTGGCAGAAACGGAGGACTATTTGCAAAGACAACTTCACAAATTCAATCAGGTCAGCACACAATTTAATATGCAAATATCAATATCCAAGACACAATGTATGACATTTGCCAGGGAACCAACGAGATGTAAGCCGGTTATAAATAATGAAATTGTCGGGCAAGTCTCAACTTTCAGATACCTTGGTGCGGATATTTCTAGCCGCAACGAACCAATTAAAGATCTTACATCCCCGATCAACCAAGCCACGTTAACATCCGGTTGCTTAAGAGACATCATATGGAACAACAGACATATGAGCATCGACACTAAAGTTCGAATATAGGTACAAAACATGCGTAAGAGCAATACTCACCTACGACATCGAGACCCGAACAGACACAAACAAAACGAAATGTATCTTAAGAACGGCAGAGATAAAGACTCTAAGGTCAATAGCGCGAAAAACACTACGGGATAGAGTGAGGAACGCAACAATAAAAGACCTGCAAGGTGGAGGATGTAATCAGATGGGGACGAAAGCGCAGAAGATGCTGGAGGGACCATGTAGAAAGAATCGACCCCGAAAGAATGGCCAAGATTGTCTCGAATGGAAATGCAGCTGGTAAAAGACCCATCAGAAGACTACCGAAAAGATGGGAGGATAGTTGGACATCCATATCACAGGAGAATCAACAACATTGACCAGACGAAATAAACAGCCCAAAGGGTCTTTACAAAGAATACGAAGAAGAAGATTAAAAAGCAAGCAACTTTGACATTATCAATTAAACTATCATCATCTGAGACATTCCGAACAAAAGTTTCAAGCATAAATTGCTTAATTTTTATATTTGAATAGCTTGAAACAGTCCAAGCCTCAAGAGAAGAATTAATTTTCAGTCAATGGAAAACTGGTTTAAATAAGTCGTCGTATAAGTTGCAATAAATAAAATGCGGTAAAATTGTTCCTTCTTTCCTCTTTCTGTGATTATTAAGCAGCATATTTTTTTAATTAAATTTAATTTGTCGCGAAAAAAGTTGTGGATTCTCTTAATTGAATCGCCTAATTAGAAAATAAATTCGAACAGCGCGGCCCTTTAAAACTCCTAAATGACGAACATGTTATTTGGCAAGTTGAATAGTAACGGTAATTGAAGCTGATTTGCCTAAGAAGGGCTTCGCTCCTCTGTCAAATTTCCTTTTTACTTTAATGAGCCTACAAAAGGGGAAAACTAAATTCGATTAACATCAACGACTTTGGGGAAGACTCCGTAGATGGGAGACCGAAAACTTAGAAAGACGATGGTATTTAATTAGAAAACAAATGCGTTTGAATGGGCGCCTTGCAATTTAGATATATACGGGTACTTTTATTGCAGGAAGGAATTTCATTAGCACCTAACTGTATTGTGCGAAATAATAAATAAAGGTAAGTGAGCAAAAGCTCTAAATAGAATGCAGATTTACCCTCATATAATCTGCCATCAAACAGCCAGGCCAGGCTGTATATTTTGGGGGGAACAAAAACACACATTTTCGCAATATTGCGACCTGCCACGAAATTTGCCTTTGATAAATCGGTAAAAACTACTTGAATATGGTAATGGATGAAGAGGGGAATCTTGAATGAAATGAAGGTAATTTTGTCATTTTCATCTTTTTGGAAGTTATGCATTTAGGACGAACTTCTCCGAAATACCATGTGTGGTTTTACAAGTTTGGTAGAAACATGTTTGATAAAGCATTGTAGATTTGTGTTTCAAACTTTAAATAAAGTATTAATTTCATTCCAAATAGCAGATAAGAATTAAAAATTTACAAGACCTAAACTTTGTAGAAAGATTTAGTCACAAGAAAAAGCGAAAATAATCAGGTCAGCCGAACAGTAGCGAAAAACGGACTTCCTAATAAAAGAAATTTTGATTACTGTGAATCTTCAATATGTTATTGTGCCTTATGACGCGAGAAAGTTTTTGCGGTTCATATCCACCATACTATTAAAATTTAACAGGTAAATCACAAAAATGTATTAAAAATACTAATTTTCTAAATATCATAACCAACGCTTCTGGAGACGAATACATTCATATTTTCAGAACCAACCTTTCTCTTATGAAAATGGAACAATAAAACCATTTTAAACCAAATATTTAATAATCAACCGTTGGGCAGCAATAGCGCGTACATTTCGCCATAAAGATCGCCCGATTTGACACCATTAGATGTTAACTTTTGAGGGCGAGAACAAAAAAATATTGCATGTTTACCATGAAAGCCAATACATTCGACAGTAAATATTAAAATGGTAATAGCTACTCATCATGGGTTGAACGTACAATATTACGTATACAGACGAAATCGCTTAACATTTTTAGTGCCGTTTTTAGAGGGGAAAATGTTTAAATCAAGTTAACGTTAAACCTCGATTTTTGGACACCATTAATCCAATTTTTGAAATTTAAACATGGTTCCAGTTAGCTGGATATGTCACTAGATACTGTGCCAATTTCCCACTTCTGCCTTAATTAGGCGCTTAGTCATTATAAAACGTTATTAAGAAAACGTTAATTTTCATGAAGAATATCGCATGAGGTGTTCATCATTTCTACAGGAGCTGTTCAGAGTTTCAACATAATTATCTCAAAAACATTGCCCTAAAATTTGATCCAGCGTTCAAAAATACAAACATTTACTGTTTTCCATTTAAAATAACCAAGTTGTTGCTTACTTTCGCTTTAACTAAAAGTGTCGAAGAAGTCGAAGCAATTTTTTGAATCGAGCAACTCGAGTCACTTAAGAGTGAAAACTGTTTTATATTTAATAACTTTCCATGTAGGTGTGGCCTAAATATATAATTTTACGTATACTACAATCACTAATTTTATTCCAAGTCATAGATATTTGGAACTAAACAGTTAAAGATTTAGGCAATAACAACATTATAAACCAGCTGGATAATTGTCTAATAAAGTACAATAAAAAGCAAAAACAGCACGAAGAAAGTTGAATTACTACAAGCTAGTTTACTGATGTTGATATTAATTTACTTTTTGCCAGTTTACTATTCGTCTAAAAAAGGCATTTATTTCAAAATAAATTTCAAAGTAACATTTTAGCATTAAATAATGCAGCTATTTGCTAGAAAATACTCCTGCTTTTTTAATAAATCATTTAATTGGTTTCTATTGTTTGGAGACATTCGTAGATAAAACTTTTTTAAGGTGAAACAGTATCGTTACCTATACGTACAAAAAAAACCAAAAGAAAATATCCAAGAATTACACATACAACAATGAAGTAATGGAATCTGTATAAGAGGTCTAAAATCTAAAAGGCCGACGATGAATTTTTATCCGCCTAAAAGAATTAATTATGAAAAGCTACCGTTCAAGAGACAAAGGCCGGTTATTGCGTAAACAGTTTTGAAGAAAAATTCACACCCCCCGGCACAACAAGGGTCGCTCGTTTTAATAACACAATTTTACGTGAAAGTTCCCTTGTTAAAAATTAATCAGCTTTGTTGTGAACTTCATTTCCACTTTGGCGAAATTAAAACCGTCATAAAGACGGATGGAGACCAATAATGGAAATGGATATAAAAGCTTTTACTTTTATTATTATGAGGTAATGTTGCTTTGATCAGAAATTACAAAAGTATTCCGCTCATAATGTATGGTAGGCAACAGAAAAGTTTATTATTAAATAAAACTCTTCTGCCGTCAGTATGAAGTGATTTCCGAGTAATTTCATTGTGGAATATTTCAGGATATCGCTGGATTTCAAGCGCCAATCAGATTCATTCGAAGCCGTGGAGCTTTACACTTCTAGGAATATGATCAGGATTGAATAGCGACTTTATATATTCGTTCCTTCTGCATAATCGAATCGATAACAAAGTGAAGCACGTTGTATTCTCATAGGCGCTTCTATAGAAACTCTCCACGAAATTTTTCCTTAGACATATATGTGGAAAAATTTTTCAGTTCAATGAAAAAATTCCTTTTCGGTTAAAGTATATTCTTTGAATTTAAATGCAGCAAATTCTAAAGATTGTTATTTTCATTGGATCTAAAGGGCTTTGTCCAAAATGGAACATCGAGCTCATTGAAGATGGGCCTTTGACATGGTTTTTTATTGTTAATATTGCTGCTAACTTATCAGCATCAAATTCAATGTGTTAACAAATTTTGGTTTTGTTATATTGTTTACCTGCACCTTTTTGGTATCTTTAGAGCATTTTAAAATAAAAAAGATACTGTTGTCTGGAATGGATGTCATTGTTGTGGTAATATAGTTTTACTGTACATTCTATATAACAGAGATTTTAAGATTTGAACCTAGAGGTGAAAAACTGAACATAAAACACCAACAACTGCAGAAACAGGCCGAAGTTCCAACATCCCGATTTTCGAGTCTATTTAACTGCAGTTATAAATCAGAGTATTCCAAACTTACAAAAAGAAGACCTAAATAAGTCAGACACAGCACAAACGCGGTCTGCGATAAAAGAAACAATAGAAACAACAACACAAGCTGAAACACTTGAAAAAGATGTAAACATAAATGGTAAACGAAATTGCGACACTCTTGGGCACAACAAGAAAATGTAAATTTACGACGCCACTAAGAACAAACAAATGCAGAACGCAATTAGAAATAAAATGCGAGCAGCAAAGGAAGCCTTCTTGGATGAACGGTGTAGAGAGATTGAAGAGCGAGATCAAAAATTTGATAATTTGAACCTATACATAAAGATTAGAGGCTTTCTAACAAAAAAATCTGAAAAATAGATTTGTATGTATTAGCAAAGTCCTGATAACTATTTCCAAGTTGCTGTATCAATTTCCCTAAGTATTAAAGCGCCACTAGGACGTCAAGTTTGCGGAAATAGGATGCAATCAAGAAATTTCCATTTTTCATTGTACCACCAAGTCGAGGAATGGATAACGAGGGCGCCAAATCAAACAAAGCTAAAGAGAAAGGCTGCATTAATCCGTCAAAATGAAATGTAAATCGAGCTGCTTTTACTCTCCAGCGAGGAGAATTATCATATTTTAGTAGCTCCCAGGGAGTTATTATAGAGAGATGTGCGCCAGACATTTTAAACTTTTCTAATGGGATATTACAAACAGTCCTTAAGAGGTTACGGTTTGCACGTGCAAATATTGCATTATACGAATGGGAAATACAGGAGCTGAACTATTTTCCTTAGGGAGTTTAGGGAAGAATGGAGAAATGTGAAGTTTGCTTTAATAGATGAATAGTGATTTGATTTAACATCAATGATATTTTTCCATGAATAAATTTTAGGTTGAAAATGGCTTCATTCCATTTAAGAGCTAACTGGGGCTGACTTGGAGAGAACGAAAGCTGCATTATAGAATCTATATCATTTTGAAAACACAAGAAACTGATGTTGTGAAGTGAGGTTACGATATGAAGTTGTGCAGTTATTTGACGAGTTTTGCAAACTTCGGTTTGGCGAAATTATGCTTCAGGCAAAAAATCTCTCTTTTCTTTTTTTCTACTTGCAGCTTAAAGCTGCAGTGAAAATATCTCAAGACTTACCTGATTTTTTATGTTATTTCAATTTTATTTTCAAAAAAAATGTCCAGTTTAAAAATACTGTTAACTTATTTGATTATTTAAATTATTCAAACGTTGTAGAACTTTGCACATTATTTTTTATTGGGTGGTTCCAGGACGTTCCAAAGTTTAACTAACTTTGACTTGTTTTACACCATCAAGATCGCTTTAATGCTTTGTTTTATCCAATTAGCAACATACAATTTTGTCGTTGAGGCACACAAAGTGAAACTCGTTGCAAACCAGCCCAAACTAACGCATATCAAACAAAACGCTTCCAGGCAAGGTGGCGCATATATTTCCAGATAAATTACCATTTTCATGTCGGATAATAAACTATTGTGTAGTTTCTAAACGCAATTCAGCAGAATTCCTTAACTCGAAGTGGTTGTAGTACTTACGTAATGCACTCGTCAGCCAACAGGACATGAAACCTGCAGCCGAGAAGCAGGACAGTCAGCAGAAAACCGTAATTCTGCATTGTCGTTATTCTGACTTGAATTCAATCCGAATTCATTGCACGAAACTGAAACACAAAGAGAATTAGTTAGCAAAAGGGGTGCTATGAATTCTGAGTATCTTAAGACAAAGTTTGAAATGAGAGAGCAACCTGAAGTTTCGTTAGAATGTATTTACTTAGTCGCACGTGTAAATAATAAAGACAATGAGCTGCAGTGTGGAATTATCGGATCGATTTCTGTTTATGCAGGGTGTGGTAACTGTGTTCTTTGGATAGGAATTTGAGCAGTCGTATATATGAAGTTGAGCAATTAGAATCCAGCACAAATCTGATAGTTTTGGAAAAACATTTTTCTTGCGAAAAAATTGTAAAACTCACTTTATGCTTCTTCTTCAACAACAATTTCACTTCGGCAAGCAGTTCTGCATCTCGGAAATAACGTTGAGATTCTGAAGCAAAAAGCCAAATATTAGAAACTTCCTGAGTACTTTCAAGACTGAATTGATCGCGTTTGAAATGCATATTTCTGGAGGTTTCCAAGTAACTTTTCAGTTCTGCGCTTCTTTTTTTAGTGCTGCTCAAATTTTTAATTTAAAATTTTACTATTTGAACACCAATTTAATATTTTCGTTACTGCTAAGCTAATATGTTTTTAAATCGAGCCTTCGGTTCAAAAGTAACCCAACTTAAGAATTGGAGTTTGAGTTGTAGGCACCAATCAATTAAACGTATGGGTGTTACATGGGCAAAAGTGATAAAATTTTTCTGTTTTTAATATTTTTTTTGTGATTTATGCACAAAATTGGTTTGTTTTCCTGGAGAAAATCATTAATATCTGCGGATTTGGCATAACCTGCTAAAATTTTGCAATTTTATTATTATTTGCTTAGCTTCATTTGATACTGTTTTCGTTGCAGTTTGGCTACCAACATCTGTTAATGTTTCTCACATTCAAGCATAAAATACTTAATCGCAAAATTACTCAGATAATTTACGATCTCTACAAGACCGTCATATTACCATCAACTTTCAATATTGCACTGCAAAATTATAAATAGAAATATTACTAATTAACATTCTTTCTTGACTTTCATGAGGTCCAGTTCGCTTTAAAACATTTTTCTTTTCTACTTCTGCTACCAGTTTTACATGTACTTTGTAATTTATTTTCGTCTACAATTCAAATGTCTAATTTTACAATTTACCGAAATTTAGCACAAATCTGTACTAATTCATACATAATCTGTTCGATTTCTTTAAGTAACTTAAAGAGCTTTCTTTAAGTTGACTAATTCGAAGAGCTCAGCCACATTTTTAATTGCCTAAATTAATTTATTATCTTTTTTAGAATATGTTTCAACCCCTCTTAACATATACTCAATTTGACAGCTTTACTTCTGCTTTTTAACGTATTTTCTGCTTTAATTCAAATGTCTGCTTTTTTTATTTTGCGGCAAATTTGGTTCAAAATTATAGTAATATGGCGCTTTATAAAATACTTTAGAAGGACCATGTAATTCGAAAAGTTCAGTTTCAATTCGGAGCGAATTAATTTCTTTCATTTTATGCTCATTAAAGCAGTACAAAACTGACTTGAAGAACTAGAAAAAAAGATTGAAAAGCATCAATAATGAAAATATCTAACTCAAAATTACAACAAGATATGACTAGAAATGCTAGCTGAACAAGTCAAAGAGACAAAAAGTGAACTAAATTACTATTAATAAAATAAAAAGCAGCTCATATTACAGTCAGGTTGTAAAACAGTTTTCAAAACGATCTTTTGATTTAACTGGACTTTTCTTGATTTTCAAATAATTTTCTTACTCAAACCCAATTTTCCGTATTAAAATCACTGCCAATCTACATATGTAAAGACGCCATCCTGGTGATTTAGAGAGAGTAATTAAGGACTGCAGCTCATGTTTAATCCAATCAATATGCATCGGGGGAGCAATCACACAACACTTTACGCAATACCAACATAACATGCAATATGCTAGATTCTATATGCAAATATGCAGTTTAAATGCAAACGGAACATGGTGAGTATTAAGCAAATAATCACATGCTTTGCATGTAGCAAGTAACGAACGCAGTGTAAGGTGAAGTTAGGTTCTCAATTTTAACCGTCATTTTGCTTTTTACCAGTATGTTATTTGGTTGTACTCGATAGCGAAATTTTTTGTTGCAAAAATGCGAAAATTATCAACAACTCCTACAATTGTAGGAGTCGTTGAAATTATGTGCCATTTAAAGCTATTATTAGAAAGAAAATTGCTTTTGCGCATTAGAAAAATATATTTGAATGCTTAATGACTCTGAGAAAAATATATTTTGTCAATTAAGCTCTTGGAAAACTGCAAGAAACTATCATTTTTTATTTTAGACCTTCAGAAGGATGTTGGCATCTTTTAGTCAAAAAACTTTGTGCCAATTGTTAGTATTTTGTTAGCGTTTTCCATATTAATTTAAATCAAATGTTGGGTTACTTACTACGCATTTATTTAAAATATGAAAAGATTCTCAACTTTTGAACACAAAAATGTGTACTAAATTGCATAAGTGTTCGAAATACATTCAGGATATTGAAAGAAAAATTATTTCAATACTTAAACCTTCACTTTACTTCTTCTTTTTTGGTAGAATGGAGAAATAGTTCAAAAATCACTAAATTTAACTACGTAAAATCCTAATGCTTTGAATCTGCTTATTCGTGCATTTGTGTAACATCTTGCCTAGTTTTTACTTATTTTCCGCCTACATTTAGAGTTTTAGGTTGATTCTTCTTGAACCTATGATTCTTATCAAATACGGTCTCATTGTGATACTTCTACTGCAATATTTTTTATTATTATTGGAGGTACAACACCGATTTAATGCTGCGGGATCAACAACTATTTCAAAAGCTCAAATCAAGTCATACTCAACTCAATTCTCAATTTTGAAAGATTTTGCAAAATTGAAATTAAACCAAACTGTTATGGAATGGAATGTCAAGGAATGACGGAACCACAAACTGAATTTTCTGATTTTCATGCTTTTGAAAAAAAAACATATTTAGGGATATTTCCAGATAATTTTGTACAATAAACTAAACCATTTCATTGTTCTAAATAAGTTGCAATTCCATAGGCATTCTAGCCAAAACAACGTAAACCAGGAAACCAAAAGCACCGGATAATTTTATCGAATGTTGCACAAAACTAAAATGCAGTGTTTGGCACCTTTCAATTTATAGATTATCGCATAATATATCATTTTCTAATTTTGCCTAAGGTTAAATAAAATCTCCTGGAATTTTTCTTGCTTAGTCGATTTTGTGCCTTCTATAATCAAGAAAAATGAGAGTGTGAGAAAGGAATGTTTCCACTTTATTAAATAAGAATACATCTTCACAGTTTATTAATATCAAACCCTGGCAAAAAGTAACTTCTACTTAGCAGGAAAAGAGCATTTTTAACCAAAACATAGTATTTTAGTGCCAACAACAGTGCGGAGTTCAACATGCCGTAAAATGATCAAAGCTTATGAGAGCCTGGAAAGCGCCAAAAGAGAATTAAGATTAGAGGGTGTTATGTAAAATTAATAAATTTACTGAAACTTTGCAAAGCGCGTTGAGACAAAGAATATTTACTATTAACCCGAACAAATAATCAGCAAAACTCCATAGAATAATAGAATATTTTAATCAAATAAAACAACATATAAGCTTCCAATATGGAAGAAAAACACCACAAACTTCGGTGGAATTTAATTACCTAGTCTAAGGCAAGACGAAACATTATGCCAGAAAATAAGGGCCTCCGGGTAAACTTTTACTGGATAACATCCCATTTTTCCATTGAAAAGTGATTTGTCAGTATTGACGTAAATCATTTGTCCCAAAAACATGTTGAGGCTCATTCTTTTGTGTTGGCGCCTGTAGCGAATAGGGCGGCTGACATGGCCAGCCAATTTTTTCCGTCGAATGAGGGAATAGTTTGAACAAAAGAATGGTTTAGCGGATTTTGTCGATATCACAATTTCAAGTTTTTTGTTTTTAATACGAAAGTGAAAGATTGACAATTCAATAGATTGGAAGAAATCGTAAGAGCTTTATTCATAGAAGGTGTAACATTGTGAAATCGAGTAATTTTAAGACATAAAGGAGTGTTTGCAACAACAGACATTACCAACTTCTCACTTACAAGAGTTGAAACTTAAGAGCTAAAATGTGATTAAAACTATTATGGCTTTCAAAGCATTTCACTTTACAAAGTTTATAATTTTTCACTCAGGCTAGACGCCGTAAAAACATTACTGCTAATTGTAATAGAATTATTTTATTAATCCAAAACGACAAGAAATTTGAAAGGAATTATATGCGCAATTTATATCGCATGAAAATACAACTAGTTTAGACAGTAATCGTTTTCCGGATAAAAATCCAAATTTTAAGAATATAATATTATACATATAAGCCTGCTGCTCAGGAAACGAACTTTTATATGCACCATATCAATTTGTACAAAGATCTATGCTTTGTAAACCAATGAAGCCGTAGAACAGTTCCGCTGCTTAAAATAAGTGAAATTTACTAACGAAAGGTAAATAAAAATGAACTTTCCATTGAAGATTTTTCAAATGACCCAGAAACTCATTTGTTTAACTCACTGTTTAAACAAATCAATTATATTAGATATAATCACCAGTACATACGAGCCGATTTTACTTAAAAGTACAAACCCTTCATAGAGACGTTTAAGCTTATATAAATAATCCTAGGCTTAAAATGAACTGAATCCGCTAGTAAAATCTTTCGGCTCTTTCCATTAAGGTAACAGCAGGCTCTAAGAACTTTCGTCTAGACTGCGATCGTGAAACAGAATAAATAGTTTCCGGAAACTTTGCATGTCAAACGCTACTTGGGATCTGCTTATAAATTTATAGGATAAGTTTGCTTAGTTGAAAAGTGAAATGAAAAGAGTTATCAGCTGTTCAGATTCGTATTAATCTGAAAGAACATTAATGCTCCTTGGTACGTATAAATTTACGTTCTTGAATAGACCCTCGTTTTCTTTATTATAATATGTTAAACCAAATGTATAACAATGACGAACATGCAAAAAGTTTACTTTTATGTGGAGGATCTAAATTGAAGCAATGCGCTACCTAAAAAGCAAACGAAATCCACGTCCGAGTTTTGTCTACTACATACTTCACTAGGGCTGATTGCCAGCCCTAGTGAAGAACTCGAAAAACAATTTATAAATATCGTGAGAAATTTGATAGAAAGAACCACCACAATCAGACATAAAAATTAGAGGTGTGAGAAACGGTTATTTTTCTGTAACGGGTTCCAACGTTCCAGTTTTACCAAATAAAATTTACAGTAAAACAACATAATAATAAAACTGGAGTGATTGAATAAAATATACGGTTTATATGCGAAAATGTTAATTTTCGTACCACCGAAAAATAGTTTTTAAAAAATATCTTGACCTTACAACGTTTATTACTATTAAAATAACTTTTATTTCATTTCTGACTGAGTTTATACTTAAAAATGGTCAGCTTGCTTAAATGCAGGTGCACATTCTGCTTAAAACTTTTGTTATTTTATATTTCAACTGTGATGGAATTTATGTCTTAGACTCTTAGCTTGCTCATAGCTCATATGCAAGTGCACATTCTGTTTAGTTTGCTGGTAATGGGCATATAACTCCCGAGCTAAGTTTCTTGAGAGAAATCCCTTTTTTTAAGATTTATTACAGAATGTCAGAAGACTAAATACTACTAACAAATTTTCGCTGGTTCCTGGAGAACTGAACAGTAATTCTTATAAACAAAAAGTGTTAAGGCAACGCACACCTACATACAACATATTTCCCGTTGACAAATGGTTACCGAAACTGCTGGAACTGGATAGATCAATCGACGGTGTCGCATCGGTTCTGTGCTGGTGCGAAGTGCGCACCGCTGTTACGGTTTTATAAAACGGTCCCAAAAACCTTTAAATCGGCCAACGGCTGCAGCTCGTACGAAGTCCGCAAAACGGTTTCTATTTTATGAGACGGTTCCAAAAAGAACGGTTTAAATCGGCGAACGGCTGCAGCTGGATAGATCTCTCAACTGTGTCGCATCGGTTCTATGCTGGTGCGAAGTGCGCATCGCTATTTCGGTTTTATCAGACGGTTCCAAAAAAAAACGGTTAAACCGGCTAGCAGTAACTACGGTTTCAGGTTACACGTTTGGAACACTGTTATTTTAGCGGTTACGTTAAATACAGCCCCTCCCTATTCGAAATGCATTGAAGAATTTAACAGGTTTTCCGAGATCTAAAACTTTTGCAGAAATGCTGCATCAAGTATAAGTTTTATATAAAGAGTAATTCTCTAGCGATTAATCAACGTTTTTATATCAAAATAAATTTTGAACATTCTTGTAAGAAAAGAAAATTAATGTTGTAATGTGAATTTATGAAACAACGTTTTGCAAATCTGTGATGAATTGTACAGTTTTGTGATTAAGCTCAGGTAAAGAGAGACGAATTGAAATGCAAGTATTTGTGCCATTCTGAAAGTATCTTGATTGAAAAACTGCATATTGCAACTGAATTATGCTCAACTGAATAGAGAGACAAAATGTAAAGTTCTGTCAGTAAAGTTTTCATAAAAATGTGGACTAAAAACTGTAACTATATAGGACTATAAAATGGTGGAAGACGCTTAAGTTGAGTAGTATAAATTTCAATTTTTACAAAACGTCTTATTGCTCAAATATTTCTTAAATGTGTTTCATCTCTAGTACTAATTTAGTTCTCTTTTAAATAGTAAATATTAAAAATTGTTTTACCATTTAATTCCGACAAACGCGAAATGTGCTTGTTGCATAAGGTAACAGTTATGTGCATTCCATCAGAAAACTTCAAAATCTATATTAAGAAAAGGCCTTACAGGACTCTCAAAATTCAATTGCTCACATTCGCGTAATTCACGTGGATGAAATGGAATTAATTAAATAAAACAACGAAATAAATTTGCCAAATCAAAGTAAAATGGGTGTCATACAATCAAGACTTATGCGACCAAATCATGAGACGATAACCTTTAAAATGATTTGGTTTGAAAGGTTTGTGGATTTGAAAAAATATGTTTTTATGGTTTAAGAATAAATAAAAATGCTATGAATACAGATTGTTGGGCAATTCGGTCCCAAGCAATTTTTTTTTATTGTAATATAGTGTAACGGGACGTGGCAGCTGGAAACTGAAAGAAGTGATTTATTTTCGATAATTTCATAATTTTTTTTGTAATTTTCTTTATAACGATAATGTATCACATAATTGAATGATCGATTGAATTTTCTGAAAAGTGTGTAAATGTCAAGTACCTAAAGTGACTAAACCGAATTGAAAATAGACGTTAGTTCTCATAATGTGCAAAGTATCGATTAAACAGGCTGTAAATTGTAAAATCGAGTTGATGCTACCAAATCTACATATTTGAACTTTACTGTTTTGTTGTTCGAAACGAATTTTATTGTTTGCAAACAAACCTCAAAACCAAATCATATCTAGAAAATGTTTCTCTTTAAAAAGAAAAAAATAGTTTTTTTATAATTGATATAAATTAAGATTCCAATTAATTGGTAAACTAGAAAATTAAGCCTTGGCTTCAACCCAAAGCTTCACAAGTGGTAATGGAAGGATCAATTAATAGGTCTAATTAATTACTTCGTCATCACACCTTAACACCTTCAAGGTAATAAATAATAAATCTAAAACCTTATGTAAATTGCTAAACAAAATCCCATAATTCCCGAGCTTTTCATACAAAATTTAATTAACTGACAAAATTTGATAGAAGGAAAGCATTGCCAGCCTCCGAAAATAAATTACCCAGATCCAGATTGTTGTAATTTTCTTGTATGACAGCGGTGAACCTAATATAAGTAAAACATAAAACAGGTGGAGCAAATTTCATTAAGAAAGGAACACGACAGCGAAATCTCTTATCCGGCGAATGGAGTAGGAAGATAAAAGGGAAAATTTCTTATATTGAGGCTACACGTAACACCGGCCATCGTTCTAGTGTTTGTCATTTGCTGGAAAAGTAGTGTAGGATCTAAAAAATTCAATTTTTGCAAGATCAGCTGAAAGCCTTTATATTTTCTGCTAATCGTCTTAAGGATTGAATGAAGCATACGGGTCTGACATAACAGCAACTGAGGTGAATTGTTTTGTTAAATTTTGCATTGTATGTTTGAATTGTAGGTTTTCCGAATAACAAATCTTTCTATCCGTTCTATTTTTAACGTATTAAGGATATTAATCGTTTGCCAAATTACCATTGAAACACTAACCTGTTGTAAACAGTGTTGTTTGAATTACTGAACAATGTTTTCTTCAATATTCCAGTATCACGGACGCATTAAATGTTTGTAAAGCTTGAATTTTGTCTTTTAAGCTCTTACCGTAACCCGTTTGAAAATCGTTTATGACAACTCAAATTTTGATTTATGACAACTCAAATTTTGATTTATGACAACTCAAAATTTGAGTTGTCATAAAGGATTTTCAATCATATAAATTGCCATGAAACTGTACTTTGCGACAAAAATGTTAAGCGCTTAAGAAATGCAAACATTACATTGATTACATCGAATATTCAAAAAACTAATTAGCATCAAACGTGTGACTTGTTTGGTATGTTTAGCACCCTTTTTTCACACAAAGTCTTGACTTGTAAGTGGTTGGCTTCCGTTTTCGATTTCTCTGATATTTTATGCATAGATTCTTGTCATAACATCTTGCATAATTCGATAAATTAAAACCAAACTTATGTAAAACTTAAATATTTTTCATAAATACGTGTTTCAACAAGTTCTCTCAGTTTTGTCGCCAGTTTATATTATACTGGATAGTTTTTTGTTTTTCTCAATTTTTTTGCTTAATTACACTTTTTTACTTAAGCTTCTGACACATTTAAATATTTATAATCCATTACTTCTACTCTTCCTTCCTCCTCTGCGTCTACATTCTTATTTCCTAAAATTTACTTCTTTGTATTTTATTTCTTTTCTCATAATCCATCAAAGTATGATTCCTTCAGTTCCTTCCACTCAATCATTTACACTTTATCGTTATTAGTTCATTTATTTTTGCAAATTTAAAATATAGAAAAACACGAAAACACGTATCTCAATTCTTTAATTTACAAATATCGAGCTCACGTATCGCGTGTTTCTTTAGACTTCGCTAGAAAAAATGGTTCTTTTTTAGTAAACAACAATTTTCTTAATAATCATTCCATGTAAAAATATTTTCCTCAATTTGTCTTTTCCTATTCTAAAAAGCCAGTTTAGTCGTAGTGGCAAACATTATAATACCTTTAATAATGATTTTTGGATTGGATTTACTTGGAAATTAGACATGAAAATTATTAAAATTAAAGGGAAACGATTCCTCAATATTTTGATAAGATCTTATTTATAATGCTTTATCAGTAAAACAGAGACACACTTATGCATCATCCGGAGTATATCAACTGCAATGAATATAGCAATAGCCACATTTACACAGCAATTATCTGTAAAGTATCAGCATTAAACGTTCATTCAATGACCTTAATAAACATTCGAAAATTGTTTACTTTTGCGAATACATTGAGTTTAGCAGAAAATTTCAGCTTGGCCCTCCTGGAAAGTGTTAAGCAAAAACATTTTGAGAAAAACGATTGAGTCAGCATACTTTACTCAGCTATGTTTAGTTCTTTGAGCATTTCATCCAGCAATTAAAACTTCTAAATAGGTTTAACTTTTCCTTTCCAGATACAAGTTCAATCAAGCACTTGAGAAACTAGAGTTAAGTAGCCCAGTAAACAAACAACATTCCCATACAAGTAACCCTTATTCATTCTATTACTACTCAAGCAACCCATTCCTGTTAAGTTCTTCATTTCTCGTTAAAAATTAACCGGCGGGTACCCAATTTCGTTTAAGCTATCCTTCGTTTCCTTAATGCTTAATTAAGTCACGGAACAAGAAAACCCAGCAGGGATAAAATTCATTTCTTGCTCGAAAGATTGCCTTATAAATTGGGGTCTTATATTGTTCTTCTTCCTCACATTTTTTGTTTCGCATCGACCATTCAGGTTCTTTGATCCTGGATTTTTACTGCTCAACGACCCCAACTGATTCTAATGGAAAATTCCCGTTCATATTCTGTGGAAAATTGAATTCAAAAAACGTTCAAGTAAATGCTCGATTTTTATATATGGAACCAATAAATAAGATTCCCGTAAACTCCACAAAAATTTGTATTGCTGGTTTTTAAAGCTGATGATCATTGAATCTATTTGAAGCAGCTTGCAAGTTTTAATTTCGCGCCAGCCACAGCTAATTTGCAGCTGAAGTTTTTTACTGTTCCAAATAGGTCTGCAGTAAGTTCATTAGGGATATTCCAGGATCCGCTTGAATAAAGCAAATCGAGCGCAGCTGTGATTTAACTGCAGCTTGATCTCTAACCCGAAACAGATATTAGACCATTAGGATCGCAATTTATCAAGAACGCTATGGACTTAAGATATTAAAGGATTAGCTAACTTCTGGCCTCAGTTCTAAACTAGTTCCAAGCCAATTAATTTCGCAGTTGCCTTGTTAGAACCCTAAGCGGGATAACTGCAACTTTATCCCCCGGTTGACAAATCGGCCGTAGCCCTGCTAAAGATGAATAGTCGCCCGTCACCTTAACAAATGTTGTATCAGTTTTCCTCGATCTGCTCATTTACAATAATCCGACGGTTGATAAGAGGGAGCTAAAGTTACAGGCAAAGAGAGCCCCTTTTAAACGGCTTGAGTTTTCTAAAAAACGATATCGGAAATGCGAATTTATGTGCTCTTGTGAACCCCGCTTCTACTTCTCTTTTACGCTCGTGCTTCATATATCATATAATCAATCGCTTTATTGAATGTTGCATTCATCCTTAAAAGCAAATATCTTTCCTTCTAGAAGAAAATGTTCGGTTTAATGCATATTTGTATTGTGTTTGTTCTATTATAAACTGCCGTAAAATAATGCTTTTCGCGTGTCTTGTACCATCAATAGTGACCCGGTTTTTTTGGTTCGACTCAAAAAATAATTATGTGCCGTAGAGGTGGAAGATTATGTAGCTGCTGTATTGTAATGGAGTTGCGGTTTCAAAATATTGCATTTCCAAAACATAAAAGTTTCATATAACACAAAAGACAAAAGAGGAAATTCTGTTTTTTTGTAAGAGAAAAATTTTTGAGGCAAAATACCGAACAAGTAGCTTGTAAAAAATGAATCGGCCTCAACAATATAGAACTTATCTATAAAAGTTTCAGGCCGATTTCAAACTGCTAAGGAAACATATGAAAACTTGCTTAGGCCTAAGCAATTAAGCATTTTAAATTTTTAAAATTTGCAATTTTGAAACTATTTGTATAAAATAACAAGCGCAATTATTCATCCAGGTAATTAATTGTTGATAAAAGTGCCAACTTTTCACCTTACTTGTAGTTCTTAAAATGTATAACAATGTAAAACATGCATGAAGTTTAACAATATTCTACATGAAAAACGCTTGAAATCCGCGGTGCGTAATTTATCACAAGCAAATTGATTCCTCTAAAAGGGATTTTATTTGGCCTGAAATTTTTGAAGAAAAAACTTAGAAATCGGATTGTTTTTTTATTATTAGGAAACCGTTTCCAGAATTTTTTTCCAAAATCAGGAGACCAAATCATTTCCAACCTACAGGAAAACCAAATTTCACTTTTCAAGAATTAACTAATTTAGAAAGGTCAATGATGAATTGGAATACAAAGATGAAGAAGAATATTACATTAAAAATTATTACTCCGATAATAATAAAAAATAATAAACGTAATAATATAACATTCGTAAACGAGCCTCGGAACATCAAAATCATGGTCAAATTTAAATAGTTTCTAAATTAATCAATAAAATTACATATAAGATGTAAAATTCTGGTAACAAAAATGTAAAGTGCCACAAATAAAAAGAACTATTGTAAATAGTTTTAAAATTGTTTAATAATTTCCAATACTTGATCTGTTTGAATGTCTGTAAGCTCAAGCTGTTCAGTAACTCAATAATTTTAAAAACACATGGTAATATTGTGTATATATACGTTTCATGTGAGCACTTTAATCTACCTGGATGGTGCACTCTAATACCTTGAGAATGCAAGACATGAAAATTTTAATTAATAAATTTGTGTACGAAGCTCTTCCACCTCAAACAGCCGAGAAGACGTTGCTAATACATCGGAAGCACGTTCGAAGTTATGTAGGTATTCGACTATAATTCCGTTTCTATTCTACTCAACGTTCAGCTTTTATTTGCTGGCATTCGAGAGATTTGATTAAAAAGTTTTCTTTTTCCAGTCACGTTAGAACTAGGGCCAGTCTAAGAATTCGCAAAACTTTCGGCTTTCTCTATGTAATTTCGCAAGGTTTGAGAGGACAACGTGCATTTCAAAGGGGGAACGTGATTATTTTGACAATTTCGGGACATGTTCTTTATACCATTGAAACTATGAACTGAATGGCTAATAGACGACGCGATGAGAATCACTTTCAGGACTGTTTCAAGATCCCACTTGCCTCGAAGCTTTAAAAGACTGTCTTAGAATGGAATTTGAGTTTCTAGTTTAGAATCGACAGAGTCGTGAAAACTTTCGAATGAATTAGTGTGAATTATATCCGAAGGGCTTTTGAAAAATCGATATTTAGGATAATTATTGTGAATTTCAAACGAAACAGAAGTCAATTTCGTGTTTGGAGCCTTTTACAAAATGTTAGAGTTTTCTTACTTTTAAATATATCAGGACGTTCGTTTATTGCCCCAATAAAATAATTTACGAAGTACTCAAATGATATTTTGTGATTGTGTGAAACGCATTGTAAACACATGAACAATATTGATTATAATTCTATTAATTAAATTTGACAAAACGTTAGACATTCAATGCAACCCAAAAGCAATTTAGTCACTTTATTTAAACCAATCAAAAGAAAACTTTATATAGAATTTAAATGACATTCATCTGATATTACCCAACATATATAAATTGCGCTGATTGCTTCCGTATTGTAAATCACAGCAATTACTGGCAATTTGCCACGCTAAATAAACCTGATCCCAAATAATTTCGAGCAATGTTTACTATATCTGCACAATACAACTAATTTGTATAAGCAATAGTTATGCAGAATGTAATAACAGCAAATCAGAAATTGTGCACTGGTTTAAATTCATGCGGCGCGTTAACGTACGATTTGATTAATATGTTTCAAAACAATTTTATATGAATACAAGTTTAAAGTTGTGTAATCAAAATTTTAATTTCATTTTAACACATTAACTCTTCAATAATTCTCATTTTTTTACAATATTTACATAAAACCTTTGGAATATTCAAAATACACAGTACAGGACAAAAGTATGCTTTAATAAAA